TTTTTCCTAATTTTAAAATTAAATAAATAGAAATTAAAACAATTATTAATTTAAACCTTTAACACAGTTATCACTCGCATATTGAAATATTCAAGTAGGTTTAAATCACCACCTAGATGCATTTCATATTTTTTGTGGATTTTCTTTTAACGACCGAATTTAATTACCCTGACATACACGCTTTGTATTTCGATCGGTAAGACTAAATGCAAAATGGACAGACCCGCAAATGATTAACAACACATGTAACGGAAAACTTGAAACATTGTATAGCGCAGTCATTTGTCGCTATTTTTTATTTTCTTTTTGGAGCGATTGCCGGTAAAGCAAAAATCACGTGCTTACAGCCGTAATTGAGAGTTAAAAGCACGAAGGGTGATGTCGTGCAGTATTTATTGTTTCATGATAAAATTGAGAGTAAAAGCACGAAGGATGATGCCGTGTCGTAGTTGGAGTAAAAGCACCAAGGGTGTTGTCGTACCATTATTATTGTTTTATGGTGAGGTTGAGAGTAAAAGTACGAAAAATAATGCCATGCAATTTTATTCATTATGTTTATTCGTTTTACTAGTTGGATGTTTATTGACTGTTTCTTATTATCGTTCCCTTATGTAGTTATCGTATCTTGTACCCCTTTCGCATGTGCCCTCCCAATAGTACATGCTTAGCCTTTATTTGTTGTTATGTTGTACGTATATTGTTGTATGCACAGGTTTATTTACGTGGGTGTCCTATCATAATCTCGTCACTACCTCGTCGAGGTTAGGCTCGACACTTACGGAGTACATTGGGTCGGTTGTACTCATACTATACTCTGCACTTCTTGTGCAGATTTTGGTGCTGGTTCCAACTGGCGCATCAGCTCGGATTGGCATTTGGAGACTCGAGGTAGATCTGTTGGCGTTTGTTGACCTTGAAGTCCCCTTCCTCGTTCCTTATTTTACTGTTCATCTCATTCGAAACAGTTATATTTATTTCAGACTTTATATGTAGAACCTCTAGAAGCTCGTGTACACTTGTGGCTCCAGATTCGGGTTGTACTAGATATTAGATTACTACACTAGTTCGTATTTTATTTTGGACTTCGTTTCTGTTTAGTTGGTTAAATTGTTCGAAGTGGTTAAAATTTGTAAAGAATTACTCTAACGTTAGCTTACCTAGCAAGTGAATGTTAGGCGTCATCACGTTCCTTAAGGTGAAAATTTCGGGTCGTGACACTAGCACACATAAAGGCGGATAAAATAACATAATGTCGGTTGAAATGATCTGATCATTTCTTGCTTCAACCTCCGGATTCATTAGCTTATAGCTGAAATTATAGTTATTGAATACGTTAAAAAGGGACGATGTAGACCTATGATCACGTACGTGCAAAGAAATTATCTTGATAGATTGCTGTCTCTTACAAACCATCTGATTTTAACTAAAAGTATGCTGGACGAAAGAAAAAAATCCGTATCATTAAAACAAATTAGTTGGTGTTGATGAGTTTTAATCATGTTAGTACATTTAATTTAAGTCCAAAAAATTAGTTGATGTTGAGTTTTAATGGAGTATTACTAATCTTATATTTTGAAAAACATAAAGAAAGACAAATAGACAAGACCATTAACTAGAGTTGCCCAATACCAACGGCCACTAACTAGCCCCCAAAGGCGCGCTTAATTCATTTATATTTCACTTTTGACTTCCCTTTTCCTCGCTCTTTTCTTCAGCTTCCTTTCCATTCTTCACTTTCCCCTTCCCTTCTACAAACTTAAAAAACCTTTTGCTTCTCAAAGAGGAAAACAATATAAATCAATGTCAAACAAGTCCTCTATTTTCCCCGTTGTAGTACCTCAATACTTCACTGGCAATGGCTTTGATCCTCGAATCGATTATTTTCAGGTAAATACCTTATCTTCATCTGTAACTTTTAACGTAAACTACTGGTCTGAGTTCAAGATCAGTAGTACGAATAACAAAATAACGTCTCAATTCCAATTTAGTTGAGATTGACCAGGGCGAAGCCACATGAATGCAAGGAGGTTTAATTGAATTCCTTTACCAAAATTCATATATAAATTGAATTCATATATAATTCAAATTTTACTTTAGGTCACAGGTATGAGTTCTATTTATAACTGTAAACATATGAATTTCCTTGAATCAAAATCACAGTCAAGTTTAACATATTTTATATTCTATTGGGAAGAATCAGAAGAATATTATAGAGGCCTATTATATTGTATCTTTTATTGTGTCTCGAAATCAAATACTTCAATTTGTTACGTTATTTCATGTATTGATTATTTTTCCTAGACGCAAAATTTTGTTGTTACAGTACCATTATTGCTTCATTTATTTTCTACTCTCTTTGACATAATTCTAACTACTGATATTTATTTTATTTCATTGGAACCGTTTTATTCCAACATTCAATATTTTGGGATATTAATACCATTTATGAATATGACAAAAAACAGATCAAGAAAAACATCCACCGGAAAAGATGGTGGAGAAATGCTCTGTTCATCTTCAAGTGGAATAAAAGGAAGCCTTTAAATGAAAGTACTAACTACGGCAATTTTCACCGTCGGAATGTTGTATTAAGTGGATCAATTTCTGGGCCGGTGTATATTACAGAAAGTAGAACTGGGTCAAACACGCCTCGCCGGAAAACCCGACGGCCGTTCTCCGGTTCACTGGCCGGAAGTTTGATTCCGAGCAAGAAAGGTGATTTGGAGATACCATACGTTAATCTTAAGGAGTTTAACACGGACAGGCAGCAGACAACTTCAGCTAATCCCATCTATTTGGTCACATGATGAAAGTAAATTCAAATCAAGTACTAGACACTGTTAATTACTCATGTAATTTCATTTTAAAATATTCTTAATCAAGTATTGTAACTTGTAATATTTTTTATGTAATTTTTAAATATATAATTTATTTATTTATTTATTTTGAAAAATCTGTATTCAAATTCACATTTAAAATCAAGCTACCCTCACCCTCGTACTTCAAATCTCCCACATGAAATGAGATTTTTTTATAATGATGGTGTTTCGATCAACCGTGGCGGAGCTAGAAGGCTGAACGCGGGTTCGGCCAACCCAATAACTTTTACTCAAATAATGTATTTATGTTAAAAAAAATCACTTCCTCCGTTCCAATTTATGTGAACCTGTTTGACTGGGCACGGAGTTTAAGAAAAAATGAAAACTTTTGAAATTTATGGTCTTAAACAAGTCAAAAAGAGGACCTAGAGTATTTGTGTGGTTATAAAAGCTTCTCATTAAAGATAGAATTGTAAGTTTAAGCTAAATTGTTTTCAAATATAGAAATGCGGCATTCTTTTTGGAACAGACCAAAAAGAAAATAAGTTTACATAAATTGAAACGGAAGGAGTATAAAATATATACAAATATTAAATTTAGAACCTAATTAATAGCTCTTAAAATTGTTGTTCCGAAATCCAACCCATAAAGTTAACTTGTGGCTCCGATTCTGCCGATCAATATGTGCATATTTTTAACTATTTTATCAGACACTTGTCAGTTATACCAGTACGTACGACGACTAAAATGTTGGCCATTAAGTAAAGGAAAGAAATTTTGAAGTGCAAATAATTAAGTAGGGAGATTAGAAAGGAGACCGCTCCATTAACTCCCTCCACTTTATTTTATTTGATATTATTTTTTATTAGTTTCTCTAAAAAAGAATGACTTTTCTATTTATAAATAAAAAAATTTAGTTTAAACTTTCTATTTCACTCTTAGTGATATATTTTTATGGTTATAAATTTCTTTTTTTTCTTAATGATATATTTTCATAGTCATCAATAATCTAATTTTATGTTTAACATTTCAAGTTTTACAAAAAATTATTAAACTAATTACCTAATCAAATTACTTTCAGAAACAAAAGGAGTAATTTTTTATAGTTGGAAAATGTTTTTTGTTTTTGCTCTCTTTGTGTAAAATTAAACTTAAAAAAGTTTTCCTCTTTCCTTGTGAATTTTATGTGTTCTGATCCTTTGGGAGTCCGTAAGGAGTCGTTTGGTTGGAATACGATTTATATCGGAATAAATTATGACGGTATAAGTTATATTGAGATAAGTTATGATGGGATTAGTTATGTGCTGGGATTGTTGTTTATTTATTGTTTGGTATGTTATATTAAGAATGACAATTGCATAATTTCTAAGAATAAGGTATAAGATATACCTGTGCTAATTACCCCACCTTCTATAAGGTATAAGTTATCCCAGTGTTAAAATTAATACCAAGATAACTTATACCTAATTTACTAACCAAACAGAATATTAAGGTGATATTAAATTTTTATATCACCTTTATACCTTCTTGTACCTCGTACCAAACGACCCTAACTGTGTAATGAGCTGGTACAGCTGCTACAGTTTGCGTTTGATTTGACAGAAGCCCTATTCTATGCTCAATTGAACATAGAATAGGGCTTTATTATTGCAATTTTAGTCAAAGGTCGATATCAAAAAATAAAAAGTATATTACTCATGTAACTCTTTTTTTAAAATAAGTATTTAATATTCAAAATGTACTAATTCGATTAATTTAGATTCATATTGTACTTAATATTCAAAATTTACTGATTCGACTAATACATATTCGCATTATACATTATTACTTAAAGTGGAGCTCTCCCCAACATTTATTTATCTATTTCAGCTCTCGAATTCGATATTTCTGGATAAGAGTGGGAGAATCTCATTCACATTTACAACTACAAAACTTGAGCTTACCTCTCCATTTTATAAAGTTGGAACTTTGAGTTTTCAATGATGCGGTATAAAAAAAATGTATTAATAACCATGGTAGATCAGGTTTAGTTCCATTACTAGGGAAAAAGCTTAGATGGTTTTTTCTAATTATCTAAAATTTAGAAGGTAAAGTTATTTGATACTTGTACTAATAAAAGATAATACTATTACACGAACTTACAGGTAACAGGTCCGAGCTGTGTAAGCAACCACTAATATTTGCATTAGAGAAGTCGTCTACATTACACCTTTTAGTGTACGACTCTTTTCCCGACCTTACATAATTGCGGAATATTTTATGCACTGGCTACGCACTGATACAAGATAATATAGATAGTCATTAAAATATTTAACGTACACGCAAATTATTCCAAACATCAAGCTTCGGAGTAGCAAATACTACTTAATAAGGTATAAGTTCATATGACGGCGGCAATAATATTGAGATCCGTTGGGCGCAAAGTTTGTTAATTGTCTAGTATTTGTGAGTTGGTTACATTAATATGATTCGGACACAGTAGTGGGGAGTACACGTAATATTGTAGCACGATAGTATTAAACAGTGGCGAATCCTGTATTTAAATCATATGAGTTCAATTTTTAAAGTTTATAGCATTAACACATTATGTTTTTAAAGTTATAAATTCATATCTATTTTTATAAATTTACCGAATTTTTATATATAAAATTTTACTCCGTACAAAAAAGTATGGGTTGAACCCATAAATACTACGCTACATCCGCCACTGGTATTAAAGTCTTGGTGACCGTTCGTGCATGTGGGGTCGACTTAAGCTCCAAATTTTGGTTTATTATTTTGTAATTGAAAGGAGAAGTCGTTTTCTAGATGGGAAAACCATGCCAATTAGGCAATCCAAACCAAACTTTTATACAGAATACAAATATATAAATAAAGGATTATTAAAATTTAAAAAATATTACTCTCTCCATCCCTAATTTTTGTAATATTTTTCGTTTTTCGAGAGTTAAACCAAAAAATCTTGACTGCGATTTGTTCATTTGCCTCTAAATATTTTAAATTATTAATTATTATTAGTTGTAATACGTTTTAGTAGTTTCTAAATATATAAATTATTTTCAAAAAATTTAAAGATAATATATCTGAATTTACAGTCAAAATAAAAAAAGTAACTCTCAAAATCCGAACTGTGTGATATAAATTAGGATAGAGAGTACTTATTACTTTTGAATCCATAATTTTAAAAAGGTAATAAAAAATCATATATTAAACCCATTAAATTAAGATTCAGAATTCTCAATTAAACTAGGGGTGAAATTCAAAAATAGCCAGATTTACAGGTGGTAATTGAAAAATAGCCAAAGTTTCAAAAGTAATCGAAATTTAGCCACTTTTCGTGTAAAGATAAATCTGAACAAAAACATTGTTTAAAATTCGTTAAATATTCCAGCATAATATATTGGAGTTTCGGTATAATATACTGGACTTCCATCATAATACACTGGAGTTCCAGCATAATATATTGGTCCAACATAAGATGATGGAAGTTCATACACAGGTTCTCCAATCTCCAGTATATTATGCTGGAACTTTCCGTGTATTGGAGTTCCAGCATAATATGCCGAAAGTCAATATAGAGGTGCACTAATCTCTAGTATATTATGCTGGAACTTTCCGTATTACAACAAAATAGTGGCTATTTTACTTTGCAACTGCTAACTATTTTTTAATTTTCAGTCCAAAAACTGATTAGCCCGTGCTATTTTCACCACCTAAATTAGGTCAGAAACGCAATATGGCCAAGTGTATTGCTGCTATTTTCAACCTCACCACTCTTGAAGCAATTTCATAACGTGGTCTGCTCCAGCCAATTTGGAATGGAGAAACGCAAATGTCATGATCCTAATTTTCCTTCGTAGGATGTCGTGACGGCACCTAGTCTTTAAGACTAGGTAAGCCTAAATAAAAATACGGAATAACTGAAATAGTAATTTAAAACTCAAACCTCAACAATTATTTAAAAAAAAAATCTGTAACTCAACATATACATTTTCCAAAACCCGGTAAAATGTAAGTCATAAGCTCCAGATACAGTACTGAAATACTCTGATACATCATTGTCTATAAAGATATAAAGAAATAAGAAAAGAACAAGATAGAATGGGACTCTGAGACCTGCGGATGCGAGTATGTGTACCTTGTAGTCTCCAGAGCAGCAACACAGCACGCTAATACCGAGGCCAATAGCATGTACCTAGTTCTGCACAAAACATGTGCAGAAACGTAGTATGAGTACACCACAACGGTACCCAGTAAGTACCAAGTCTAACCTCGACCGGTAGAGTAGTGACGAGGTCAAGTCAAGGCCTTACTGGAGATAATAAGAACAAGACATGAGATATAATGATATAATAAGAATAACAGGGAAGTGAAACAATAAGGAATTTACGGAAAGTAACCACGAAAATCAAGAAAAAAATACAACACGAAAGGAAAACAACAACCAAACAATACACCAAATAGAGAAGATCAACGTAGGCACTCCTAAGGTACCGCCTCGTAGTCCCAAATTATAAATTAACTCACAATAATTGAGAGTACGCATAATATTGTAGCACGATACTATTAAAGTCTTAGTGACCGTTCGTGCATGTGGGGTCGACTTAAGCTCCAAATTTTGGATTATTGTTAGGAAAGTGAAGGAGAAGATTTCTAAATGGAAAACCATGCCAATTAGGCAACAACCTAACCGGTTCAATCTAATCCAAATTTTTTGATATGGAATACAAATATACATATGTGTGTGAAATTTTTTATCAAAAAATTTCAAAATAATATTACCTTTTGTGTCTAAAACGATAATGAAAGAAAAATTCAAATATTAAACTCAACAAATTAGAATTCAGACATTTAAATTAGGCCAGACACGCAATATGACCAAGCTTACTACAATACACGCAAAAGGTGGAGCAGTGGTTTTTATAAGCCTATCATTTGGTTTAAGATTTTAAACCAGGTTATCCCACAATATATTATTCAGAAATTATAATCAGGATTGAAGAAATTTCACCTTTTATATGGAATAGACTATTCCGTTATTCTGTATAATATTTATCTGCATCAA